TCCCTTAAGAATGGGAGACTGTAAGGCCTAAACTTACCAGTTGCAGTTCCTATCCCCATTAGAGAAGAACCTGCATCTTTCATGATAGCATGCACATCAGCAAAATCAACATTAACTAAACCCGGCACCTGCAGAAGAATTCTGCAAATATTAGGAGATAATAACATAAAAATGGCAAATGTAATTGACCAAGAAATCTGATTCGAGAAACCCTAATCAGAAGAACAACAGATGAATACAAGGAAACCTCTACTGGACATATTGATGTAAGCAATGTATTTTGCACTTCAATACAAGTCATGGAATGCAATTGTAACATCTTAGATGAATTATTAGAAAAAACCAGAAGAGTCAAATATTTTAATACACCAGACACCAATTCACCAATTGAAAAAGTATGACAAATAACAACATTAACATTGAACAAAACTGTATCCTTTTGCTCCCTCATGACATTAGCAATTTATAATCACTGATAAGAAGCAGGAAAATAATGTTGTGCATTTGAAGTGAATCAAATATGAAACTTCTAATTCAGAAATATATGCAAGCTGGTTTAAGACCCTAATCATGAAAGGTTTTTAAGCTATGAAAAAAAACTGAAGTTTGACCATTTACAAATTTCTAAACAACCAATTACCTGCCTACCCTGATGGGCAAGCACCGGTTATGAGCTGAAGCACATAAATAGACACAATGCAAGAACAAACTGCATTACTCAGGAAAATATGTGCATTATAGCAATAAAATCAAGATGGATAACAATTAATATCACTATTTTTCATCTTTTGATTTGATGGTGTTTTGTGCTTGAACTATACAAAGAATTCTTGGGGGCAAAGAGAAAAATTGACTTAACAATGCATACCTACCGTAATTATATCAGAGATACCACGAACACCTTGCCGAAGTATATCATCTGCCAAATTAAATGCTTCAGTTACTAAGGTGGCATGTGGACTGCAGTCAACAACTTGTCATTGGGAATAACGATAAGTGTGTCCACATTTTCACACAGGGTTGCAATTCCCTCCTGAGCTTGAATTGCTTGCCTCCATCCCTCAAAAGAAAATGGTGTTGTAACAATGCCAACAGTCAAGATTCCCTTCGATTTTACTATGCCTGCAATTATTGGAGCCCCACCAGTGCCAGTTCCTCCTCCCATTCCAGCCTGCAGGTTTAATGCCCAAGGTAAAACAACATCCAAAAGCCAACAAAAGAATGAAAAAGTTAAGCAGCCTTCTGCTCCACGAGTCCAGCAGATTTGTCTCACATAGTAAATCTACACTCATAGCAACTCTTCTGACCACGTTTTGCATTGTTATTGGAACTTTAATCCCCTTCTCCACCCAAACATATCAAATCACATAATAGAGCATACTGGCACCCTCTAAAATTTAGAAAGTTTAAACAGCAAGGCACAACCTTGTAGGAAAATATAATATCACTTCCCTCATAATCATTCTAGGTTGAATATGTGGTTCTTAATCTAACTTAAGTATCAAAATATTGGCAAAATTACTACAGGTAATGGTTTAGAGAAATCAGGTTTAATAATTTTATATTAAAAAAGGACTACTGATTCATTAATTGACAGAGAAACTAATTACTCAAATAGAAAAATAGTAACTTTTATATTGCAAGTCATCTTAACACATAGGCTACACAAATCCTCCAATAGTATGGCAAAAAGGCAGATACCATATTGTTTAACCAAAAGAACAGCAGGAAAGGGGGGGGGGGGGGGGATAAAACTCAATCTCATAGATTTTATGCTCCCTTGAAGAACTGAGACCAAAGTTATCATTACTTTTCCTTTTTTATACAAAGGAAGCTGCAGTCTGGAGATAGGGGAAGGGATTGCAGGTGCTGGGATTTGAACCCCACGCCTGCTCGATGCCCCTTCTTAAGAGTGGCTACATGAATCAGCTGAGGTAAGCTTGGGGTTCACTACTTTCTTTGCAAGAGAGTTCTAAATTCCAACTATGAATCTACTACTGGAGTAACTTACAGCTTCTAGCAATTAAGCATATGCGATAGAACTTACCGTCACAAATACCATGTCTGCACCATGAACTGCCTCCTCGATCGCCGCTCTGCTTTCATTGGCAGCATTCATGCTGGTTTCTGGTTTCCCACCAGCACCAAGACCGCTAGTCAGCTCCTCGCCAATTTGCAAACAGTTCTTTGGCAACACAGGAGACATCTTCAAGGCTTGAGCATCTGTGTTAACTATAAAAAACTCCACACCTTTCATTGAATTCTTAATCATCCTGTTAACGGCATTAGACCCACCACCCCCGACACCAACAACTTTGATCTTAGCTTCACTATCGTTGCTACGACTGCAGGATTCACTCAAGTCTCAGCGATGTTTCTAGAATAACTTTCCTTTCCCAAACAAGAAAATATATCATCTTCTTCACCACTGAGCTTCAAAATTTCAGGATGTAAATCCAGAAAAGAATCATTACTATGATTTAGGCTAACATTATTGGAATTAACAGAGCATTTAAACTTTGAGAAACTTGGCAAATCTCCTCACCTTTGGCAAGCACCCAATAAACCACTCTTGTTAAAACCTTTCAAGAAACTAGCTTTGCCAATCCACCTCTCCTTCAAACTATATTCTCTCGAAAAGGCTAGCACTGCAACAGATGCTTGACAGTCGAATGGTGCAAAACAAGGAGATGAACAAGCCGCCATATTAGCAGCACAAAACCAATTCCTGAAACTTACACTTTCTTACACCAATATGCTCAAACACCAAACATTATGCTACCAATCATTGTTCCAAACCTGGTTATTAAAACCCAAATGATCAAAATACAGTTTTATTTTAAAAATAGTTCTGCATTGTTCAACAAACAAAATATGAAGCAAAATAAACATAAATTCTACTATTTCAACACAACGCTTTATCAAAGATGGTCCAAAAATGCAACTAAACACAAATAAGGAATGTTTTACCTTTTTGTTAGTGAAAATTGATAATTTACTAAAAGAAAAAAAAGCCTTTGTAAAAGATCATAAAAAATACAAATGGAAGCAAAATCAACAACAACGTTTAACCGCATAGAACTAAAAACGCACCAACGAGATCAAAAACCCAGAATAAGAATGACCTTAAACCGCAGATTAAACCATCAAATGTAGACAGAACTCGAATAAAAGTAAAATCTGTGAAAAAGACTTGAAAGAACCAATTGTGAAGCATCGAAAAAGAACAAAACAATGAAAATAACAATTGGGTATCAACCATCAAGAAAAATTACCTTCAATGAGAGAAGAATACAAGGAAACTGCACGCCAAGCATAATTCCAAGGAAATTGGAAACACTTGGGCCACTGAAAAAATAAGGGTCGAAAAGTAAAAGATGGGTGTTTCTAATTTTAAAGTATGGCGGGTGCAATACTGAAGTACAAACTAAAGAAACGGGACCATCACTGGTCACTTGACTTGTTCTCGATTTGGATAGTTGATTAAAGATCGTGTTTTTGGTTAGTTGTTTAGATTTGTCAGTCTCCAACGAAGTCTCAAGTTTCCAACTTTGTGAAGTCCGCACCAAAGTCAAATTTCGTGAACTAACTTGACTGAAATTTCGTGATATGCGCCTGCAAACTGGATTAACATCTGTCCTCATCATTTGGCTTTTGTGCTAATGCCGGATAAGAAGCATGGAAGCAAGTCATCTGAAAATCTAAAACACAGTATTGGGAAATGATAAAAAATTATATGAAATAAATATAAAATTATATAATTTAAAATTTTTATAAAAATTATATATAAATTTAATAAAATAAAATATATATTTTTTATTTTTATTAATATATATTATAATATATAATTTTTAGATAAAATATAATAAAATAATTAATATTTTTCTATAATATAAATATATAAATTATCAAATTTTAAAAAAATAAAAAATTGTTATTATAATAATTAAGTTAAAAGTAAATTATAAATTATAATTATTAGATTAATAAATCTTTTATTTTTTGTCTTTTCCTCTTATCTATCTTACCACAAAAAGCTTTGATGTGAAATTTATCATGAACTCGGGTAAATGAATTAAGACAACTTAATATAATCTAGTTTTGATCATGTAATTATGACTACTACTTTTGTTATTCATTTTTTTATCTCCAGATTCATAAATATTTATAAAAATATAAATAAATAATTAATTTCATTGATTAAATTTATTATTTTTATAAAAAAATTTTAAATTCAAAATTTATCAATAATTATTTATTAAAATAATTTAAAATACATTATTTATAATTATTTATATTAAATTATTAAATACGATATATTTTATCTTAATTTAAAAAATTAAATAATTTATTTACCTTTAAATTTTGTTTAACCACGAATATTTACGAAAATTATCAATTATTTAAATGTTAATAAAAATATAAAATATTAAGGGTATGATAAAATAAAATTTTAAATTTTAAATATAAATTTTATTTTTTAAGTATTAAATTATAAAAATTATGTATAATATAAAAATCACTTTACATATTAATTCATTTTTTATTACACGTTACGTGTGAATGGTGATTTTGTAGATATATTTAAAACATAATAGATAATATTTTGTGCTTTATGTTTTATAAATTTTAGCGTTTAAATTATCAAACATCAATTAATAAATTGTAGGTATGTCAAAATTAAATGTTTTTCTTAATTTTTTATTAAAAATTTCTTTGTCAAAGAAATATCCAAACTTTTGAAATTATTACTTCTATAAGTTAAAAAAATTAAAAATAAAAGAAATTATTTAATCTTAAAAATAAAGGTAAATCAATTTAGGAACTGCAAAAATTATTTCATCTCCAAAACTAAAATAAATCATCAACTTATAAAAAAAATTTACGGATCCGAGTGCCTGTTGGTACTTCTATAAAAAATTACGTTGTAGATCACATATTCACAATATAAAAAATTATTCTACAACAAAAAGAAAAAAACATTTCAAGTATGTTAATTCATAAAAATATATAAAAAATATTCCATGAAAAAAAGACAGAGAGAGAGAGAGAGAGGACCCACCCACATTGGTGTGAACAGCCATTGGCAGCCAGGTTTGCATAAACAGAGGAGAAAGACAGGAGCGTTGTTCATCGACGTTATCGTCTGATTGGATTGTCTATATAAATTTCAAAAAAAAAAAAAAAACCCAATGAGAAAAAAGAAGAAAAACTTTGAATCCAACTCTTCAACGAAGTTTATTTATTCTTTATCACTCACTTAAAATCATTAGTCACTGCCATTTGGAAAATCACCAATCTTCTTTTTCGCTGATTTCTGGTAAGCTCTTTTTTTTCTTCTATTGGTTGGTTTGTTTCGCTTTTGGGTTTTTTTTTTCCCTTTTTTTTTGTAAACTTTGACATATTTGTCAAATGCCCAGATGCTAAAATTTCACTTTTGATGTTTTTTCTTGGAATAATTTTTTTATTTGGATTTATAGGTATTTTGAATTCTGGGATTATTCTGTGTTGAACCATATTTTATTCTCTTTTCTGAGTCTTTGAATTGATTTTAGCCTGTAAATGAGACATTTTGTAAGTACCCAGGTACTTGATTTTGACTTTGATCATTCATTTGTTTGGATCTTTATTTAGTTGGAATCTTGCTGAAATTATGATACTTAAAACTCCCTTTTAAACCCAACAAAGCTTATATATATTGTGCTTTAGATTGCTTTATTTGGATGTGGAATCTGTTTGAAGATCTAACTAAAAATCATGTTTTTGAGTAGCTTTTGTGTTTGTTTTATTGGACAGACCTGTTTTTTAAGTGCTGGAAAGAAGACTTGGGCAATGACTTAAACCCATTTCAACCTTATTTGTTGAGTTGTGAAGAATTTGTGTTGTCTGCTTATATCTAGTTGAGCATCTTCAGAAAACCCAATTTGTCGATTTGAGGCTTTTGATCTTTATTGGCAATGGAAAACCTACCTGTTGAAGTCATTGGAAACATTTTATCTCGGCTTGGAGGTGCCCGAGATGTGGTAATAGCATCTGCAACATGTCGAAAATGGCGAGAGGCTTGTCGGAAACACCTTCATACCCTAGCATTTAATTCTAATGATTGGCCTGCTTTTCATGATGTTACACCTAGACGATTAGAGATCTTGATTACTCAAACAATATTCCAAACTACAGGATTGGAAGGCCTATCGATTTTGATGGATGATGTTGATGAGTTCTCGGCTTCAACTGTTATCGCTTGGCTCATGTATACGAGGGAAACCTTGCGCCGGTTGTTTTATAATGTCCGGACTAGCCCTAATGTTAACATTCTCGAAATCTGTGGGAGGCAGAAGCTGGAAAAGTTGGCACTATCCCATAATTCAATAACAGGGGTTGAACCTAATTTTCAGAGATTCCCTTGTTTGAAGTCCCTCTCACTGAGTCATGTTAGTATTTCGGCTTTGGATTTGAGCCTTTTGCTCACTGCATGTCCAAAGCTTGAGAGCTTGGAACTTGTCAATCCAGAAATAGCAATGTCAGATGCACAGGTGACAGTGGAATTAAGCAGCCCAACATTAAAGAGTATTTATGTTGAAGCAATTAGTTTGGATAAATTTATGCTGGAGGCTGATAGTATTGAGCGTTTGCATTTGAGGGATTGTGCCCTTGAACTTTTTGAACTGATTGGGAAAGGTACTCTGAAATATTTCAAGATTGATGATGTTAGCGTGATACATCTTGACATTGGTGAGACTGTTGATAATCTTGAGGTTGTTGATGTCAGTAACTTCACAATCATCTGGCCAAAATTCTACCAGATGATTTCAAGATCCTCAAAATTGAGGAAGCTTCGGCTTTGGGATGTGGCCTTTGATGATGAAGATGAGGTTGTGGATTTGGAAACAATTGCAGTTTATTTTCCACAATTGAACCATCTTTCATTAAGTTATGAATTGCGAGATGGCATCATGCATTATGGTCTCCAAGGATCTTCTAATTTGGAGAATGTGATGGTGCTGGAGCTTGGATGGACTGTAATTAATGATCTCTTTGCACATTGGGTCGAGGAGCTGTTAAAACGATGCCCAAATCTTAAAAAAATGATTATTTTTGGGGTTGTTTCAGAAGCCAAGTCACATGAAGAATGCCAGATATTGGCCAACTTCACCTCATCAATTGTTCAGCTTATGAGGAAATATATGCATGTAGAGGTTCAGTTTGAATATGAGTAAAATTCTCTCAATTGCATTGTTAAATTCAAGTATTGGTTGAATCATGAACCATATAAGCAGATATGAAGGTAAGAATTACAGAATGTAAATCCTGTTTATCCTTTTTTTTTTTCTTTTTTGCATCTTATGAATGATTGCTGGTATTTCTTGAGTTTGATTGGAAAAATGTATGCAATCAAAAGAATACTGTTGTCCTTTTCACTTAATTGTCACTTTGCGCCTTTGCTATTATTGACCATTTTGTTTTATACCGAAATTGAAGATTCTTTGTTATTATTTATACCTGCTGTAACATGGACAGCCCTTGTTGTATTGCTGGCTTATATTGATGAAGCTAAAGTTTCAAAGAGCTTTATCCAATAAATAATATACTGCTTTGTGTGTATACACAAGCCTAGCCTATGTGTATAACTTCATTTGGAGTTCATGGATTTTCAGAAGTGTGAGGAAGATTAATAAATGTGATGAATTGCTTTTTTGTGACACTCATGGTTATTAGGTTTCTTCTGAAAAATGTGATTGTTATTAGAAAATTTTCTGCTTCAAAGTTGCAGTGGCCTCTACCATTTATATATAAAAAGCAAAGAGGAAATGATTTCTCAGTGGCTTCCTTTTTCCAAAACTTTGTTGGATTGCAGATTTGTATCAGAATACTGGAACAAATGTTATGTTGCAAATGCTATATACATGGCCACATTGACATATGTTATGACCTATAAAATGAAATCAGATCAGGACCATTGATTGATAAAATAACAGGATGCGATGAGAAGATTCTGAGTCTATATGGTGAGTGCTTATCTCTTGCATTCACGCATTTAGTTTTTCTTCTTGTCATTTCATGACCTAGCTTCATGTTAAACCAAATACCAGCAGTGCATGCATCTTTGGTTCCTTAGCTTTGACCGTTTCTCTTAACAAAAACAGCATGGATTTTCCTTCTGAAATTTCCAATTGGTTACTTATGTGCTATTAATGAGAAGGCATACTGCAGGGTACAGGAAACAAATACTGATCACAAAGTACTAACTGCTAAGCCGTTTGATTTTTGTATCTCCTTTGTTCTTTTCCTTCTGCACTGTCTTCTCAAATACCTGTTGAGCATCATGAACTTAGAAACTAAAATAGCCTCTGTTGAGTTCTTACATTCTAGCCTCCAAATTTATTGTGTTTATTTCTGTCATTCCGTGTGCTCCCTTGGCTATTTAATTCTGTAAACAAAGCTTGCCTCTCACTTCTTTGTATTGCTTTGGCACCATTTTCTTTTATTTATTTATTAGAGTTGGTTTTGAGTGATTCGAGTGTTACTTTTCGCATTTGACATTTACATGGGAAAGAGTTCTATATGGAGAGAACAAATAGAGATGCAGGCATTTTTGCATTAGTATTGTTGATAATGACGATGTCATAGAATGACCATCTGTTTTTATATGTTTTGCTTGTGTCATTTTTTGATAAGCAAGAAAATTAACTCTAGTTGGCAAATGGGTTGCAGAGATAAGACTAACAGAATTATGTCTTGTCCCTCCTTATCAAAAGGAATAAGGAATGGGAAAGTCCCTCCTGTCTCAGTGGAATTTATCCCACCTCAACCAAGTTCAAGGAGGAAGTTTGGTTGGTATTTTTTTGGCATAAAAAATGTAAGAATGAAGGAGAGTAATTATGGAATACAGATATTGTTATGTACTGTTACATTTTTTTCACTTTTTTCTTGTCTTTTTTTTTTTTTGGGGGGGGGGGGTGTCTTCGAGAAAATTGACTGAATGCTTACCCCCGTCAGAATCTAGCAGTGCATATTAATCTGTTCACCTTAGTATTGGAGTTCTTCTACATCAAGTTTTGATTGTAATTACACCAGTTTGAGAGCCTGCTACATAATTTGATATTTACCGGTAATGCCATTTCTAATATACTGTAATCAAGGAGCTAATTGCATCAGGCAAGTGGTGGTGGCAGCGATAATGTGTGTTTGGTTAATGTGTTTTGTTTGGGAAATTCACTGAATTATTACCTTTCCAGGGAATGGTTGCATGGTATATTTATTTCAGCTGAAGAAATGAGTACATGTTGTAAATCTACATGAACTTTCTGTTTCCTGTGTCAATGGACAGATATGTGCTTTACTTTGTGTTCTTTATGTATTTACTGTTCGTAATTTTTTAGACTAGGATGCTCCACAGTTGCTGCTCGGTTTGACAACTCTCTGTAAGTGTGCACACTCTGCATGCATGAATGTGTATTACAGGGAAAGTGATGGGTCTGGGATGGGGGACGGCATTGATGGTAAAATTTACCTTGTCTGCAGGTTTGGGTTGCCTCAGGAATACTGCCTGCACTGCAGCACTGGAATGGAAAGAAACTTCCAATGGTTCCTCGATTCTTTTCTTTTCTTTGTGGCGGACTTATGAACATAGTATTATGACTTCTGAGTAGTATATGCTATCAGGTCTCAGCAAATTTAATTTGTCGGTCTACCTCTTATATCACTCCTTTTCTGGTGGGTGGTATTAGATTGACTGAATTTGAATGTTGAAGTTTGATTTAGTATCACTACTGTGGTTTTAACAATTCATTTGTGACTTTTAACACTTTCAAACATAAATTATTACGTTGAAATACAGTTCAGCTGTTGTACATTACATTTGGTGAGATCATTGCAAGGAAGCAACCTGATGAATTCGAGGATCTGAAAATGCTGCAATTTCATTTTCTGTGTCATTCAGGTTCTTCTTTCTTCTTTCTTCATGGCTACCTTGCTGAATGGCTGAAAGGCTGAAAGGGAAATCCTTGGTGTTCCAACAGTGGCTCACTATTGCATTGCACGTGTTCTTTTAAGGCCATGTGAAAGAATTTGTGGTTGGGGAAGAACATTGACAAAAACAAAGTGTTTTGCCTTTTAGGCTCCATATATTAGTCAGAGTATTAGAAATAAACTTGTCAGCAGATGGTCAAAATTATACTCCCAATTGGGCCATTGGGAAGAAATTCTTCAAATTCTTAGTGTATATACCCGACCAAGTGGAGGAAAAGAACTTGCTTGCTTGTATAGCTGGCTAAGGAAAATTGTTCAACCAACTCTCATCTACCAATTCTGGGGTAGGATAACCAAAGCTACAGGTCACCTTATAATAGTAATAATTTTCAATTTTCGGCTATTAAATGGAGCTATGAATATGAAAAAAAAACAAAAATTAAGAATGGCTTTGAACTTAGAAGCAAGGCAAAAAAATTTCTTTTTGTAAAGTTATATTCAAAATAATTTGAGAATTCAAAGCACCGATATAATTATATGTGATTTAATTCAATTTTTGAAAAATAAAATTTTAACACTTACAAATTTTTTTTTAATCGTCAAGCTAGTTACAAGGGAAAAATATTCAATTTGGATACTTTAATTAGTTACATTAATTTTCTTTGGATATAATAATGCACTTAATCCAAAACTTCCCACCTTCTTCCATTATTAATGTTTTAAACCCCCAAAAAATTTGAAGTAATAACAAGTGACCTCTATGTTAGGTGTGCTGCTTGTTATGATTCGTTAGTTATTCAAGATAATGAAGTTGCTCATCGTATCTTTACCCCCACACCAATGATCTAACCTCAGTAATTTACAAATCAAATTTTTTTTTCACCATAAAGCAATAGTACCCAAAATGGGGTTAAATAAAATATTTTTTGATGGTTTTTTTTGAGGTTGGGGGTCCATTGCTAATCATTGGTTAACATGGTATTGTTCCCCTGTGATGAAAGATCATGATCCATCATTGACGGCTTCTCCCCATGGCATCCCATTTAAAACTGAAATTTTATCAATTGGGACAGCTCGGAGTAATTTTAAATCCATCTAATTATTTATATATTTTTATCATATAAAATATTAAAATTTATATATTTATATTATATTTTATATAAAAATTACGTATTATCATTTAAGATAATACGAAAACATAAATTTTTTTATTTTATTAAACTCATATATAATTATTATTAAAATTTTAAACTATATTACTTTCGTATTCTTTATTCATCATATTCATATCATATTATCGTATTTTATTTTAAATTATTAAATCTAATATCAAACAACTATAATAATGATATGATGCAAATTGGGATTTAGTTTCGGCCATTATATTATGCAAATTAATTGGATACCATTAATTATAATGGTGTTATTAAAATATCACTTAATTATTAAATTTTTTTATTTACTCATTAAAATAAATATTTTTTTATTATTTGATTATTAATTTCTTATGATATATTAACGTGATAATATCGATAATGTATTAATAATTAAATAATTATTTTAAAAATGTGCACATAATTAAATAAACAATAATGTATTTTATCCTATTAATTAAGCAATACAAATATAATTAAGTTCCATGCTTAAATGACAAGCAATGACTCAATCTATAAATATAGCTAAACAAATTCTTCTAAAGGTATAATTAAACTAGGATTTGTTCTGGACCAATCACCTTTTCTGCAGACATGCAAGTATAAAGAAACCACAGTTTTGTTTGGAAAGAATTGCTATATCCATGGGAATCTATGAATCTGAAAGGCTTATCAAAGTCTTCCCTATGAAAACATGTTGTAAAGTTTATTAGGAACAAAAGTATGGACTGAAAACACATAATCACCTAATCCATGATCTGTTTATTTCTCTATTTGATTCAAACCCTCCTTTTTTTTAGACCATTCATTGGCATCATGAAGGAAAAATTGGTAGAGGGCATATTTACCTATAAAAGTAGCAGATGAGCACAACATAAAATAGTTGTCTTTCCACCTCTTTCATGAAAGAATCATGGGCCCATCACCAAAAAAGCTCTCTCTGTCTCTCTCTCTCTCTCTTACCCTTAATATATAATATAATAATATGTACTCAATAATGCTGGTTTTGGATCTCTAAAACCCATTATAATCGGATAAAGTAATTCATATATTGGCATTTGATTATTTTTTATTTAATACGTATAAAATATAAAAATTATTATGTTATAATTTGTATTATTATATAAAAATATATATTTTTTATAATTTTAAATTATATTGCATTTGTATTTTTTTTTATATTATGTCAGTTAAAAATTACAGAATCTATTTATAACAATTTTTTAAACAAAAATATTTAAATATGTAGCTTTCTTTAACCATTTTTTTTCAATTGTTTTTCTTTTTGGGTTAGACAGTCTGCAATTTGAGGGTAGCTTTTAGGATTGGCACAAACTTTGATTTGTATGTCTAGAGACAGTTTTGGGACACTGGCAACAAGGAGACCTCACCTAATATGGGAATTAAGCTCTTAATCTGGAACTTATGTGACGTCCAGTCTGCAAAATGACCCTGTAGCCTGAGGCCCTCCTAAAGAAACAAAATTCTAGTAAGGGAAAGGAATCTGAATGTGGCTTGGGTTTAGGTGATGACAGGGAATGGATGTTGACCCACCAACAAATGGAATAATACCAAACAAATCCATCTGAAGGTCAAGTATTAAATATATGTGCAAGTGGCTTTTGCTTGTTGATGAGTATTCTGATTTTCTGGTTGAAATGGTGTGAGCAGAATATTAAAGAAATCAATATTTGTCAAACGTAACTCATATCCCCCTTGACATGTATATATGCTATAAAGATCAAGAAAACCACCCTTTTTTCTATAAACTTTCTCCTTTTTGATACTATTTTCTTTTTACCATTACTCATTTTAATTTTCTTTTCAATATGAAAGAAAACCTTGTGTCATTTGAATATTCAATGTTGAATTCATTGTTATCTATTTATTTTATTTGTCTTTCTACTTTGATGAGTACTTTGCAGTTTGCAGTCCTAAAGTGGTCCATAACAAGGAGCAATGAGAAAACACAGGCGGCTACAAAAGAGAGGGTGGAGTAGGAGTCAGTGATTCTAGTGGGTTCTTGCTGAAGGACCCATCCTCTTTTTTGTACACACTTTTTTTTTTTTTTGACTCAAAGCTCCACACAAAAAGACATAACTCAAAGAGAGGGCCTGGCCCTGAGGGGCAGGTCTGCAAGGACAAGATTTTGTGTACCATAAGAACAGAAGGTGTTGTGTTGTAATAAAGCAAAAAGCTCCCAAAAAAAAAAGAAAAGAAAAGAAAAGCAGACTAATCAATCAGGTTGGTTTCTTCACATAGAAGTAGAGATAGAAATCAGAAGAAAGAGATTCCCACGAAGGATTAAAAGTTACAATTAGAGAAGAGATATATCTAAGAAAAAGACTGGACCTCTTTGTTTCTATTTAGATTCACTTTGACAAGAAAGCTTTGGTCTTTTGTCTCTCTGCGTTCTCTTTCTTTCCCTGTGTCTCTCCTCTCAGCTGAGTTAAACAAAAGAATAGAAACGCTAGGGAATGGTTTTTCCATTTCCTCTGTTTGTTTTCCTGGAGCTAATATAGTTTTCTTTCTTTTCAAGCCAAGGTTTTTCACTTTTTTTATTTTCAGTTGTTTCTGGTTTAGAGAATGGTCGAACGAACAAGTCTTGCATGGCGAACCATAGAGTTGGAGAGACAGGTTTAACAGACTCAGGACCTTCAAATCACCTTCATCAAATTACTTATGCAGTTCTTCATGGAATGAATATTCCTACAAGTTTCATGTATCTCTTCTGAAGAATTCCTCTTTCTTTCAAAATTGATCATTTTAATTTGTTTTCATTGTTCTGCTCATTGATGGGCTGTCAATTCCTGTGTCAGCCATCAACAACGATCTGTCCTTGATTTTGGAGAGCTAGAAGAAGCGATTGTGCTGCAAGGAGTGAAAATTAGAAATGATGAAGCTAAAGCACGTATGTTCCTTTCCTCTCCTATCATTCACTTATTTTCCTGACTTTTGCTGAGCTTAAACAACTTTCCTAGAGCTCAAAGAGAGAGGTTTGAATACGTCTAGAGGGGAAAAGTGGGAGGGAGGGGTGGTGGGTTAGCATTTCCAATACAATAATGATACTGAGGCGAGAAGCTTGAATGGCGTGAGGCTACAAACATAGAAATCTGTCCTGCTTACCATGATTTTACTGACTCCATAACTGTACAAAAGAGAAAGGAGCCGGCAGATCTTGGTAGTCCTAATTTTGGGTGATTCTCTGATAGTTTGCTTTTGTGATTTTCTGCAGCTTTATTCACAACAGGCAGACCAGCAGCTACCCTAGAGATGTTCCCTTCTTGGCCAATGAGATTTCGGCAAACCCCAAGAGTAGTTTTTTACCCTATATATCTAGATTTTTAGATAAAAACGTGTTTGACAGTGGACCAATTTTATAAGAGAAGAGGTTTCCTATACTCAAAGAGTTGACAAAGTTATGGTTTTAGAGTACTTCTTTAATGCTATTAGATGAGTTCCTTCCCTTGAAGTGATGAACGTTTTTGGGATTTTTCTCTTAATTCCCATCTTGGAACTTTTGCTTAATCTAGGGAAGTTCAAAGTCAGGAGTGGAAAGCACAGACTCAGGATCAGCAGTGAATACTCTCTCAAGCAAAACTGAGAACCAGCAAGAACCAGAGTCTCCTATCAGTAAAAAGGCGACTTCTTCAGATCATCAGGCTTTTGACCAGAAGTCACTGCTGCACCAACAGCATCAGCAGCAACAACGGCAGCAGGAACAACAACAACAACAAAAACTAGAGATGGCAAGCGATACCTCAAGAACAGGAACATCACAGAATCAATCAGCTGCCAAACAACCACAAGAAAAGGTCCTTAAACTACAGTTACATGCCTAATAATTAATCTCCACAGTTTTCTCTCTTACTCTTGTTCCTTCATATCCCAACGACTCAGGAAAAAGTTAAGATGGTATCATTTTTTGCTATTATTACTGTTTTCGTTCTCTCTTCTTTTTTTTTTTTTTTTCTCTTTCTCTCTCTGTGCATATCTTTATACACAAAGGAACAGATCCCAACAACCCACAGAGAATCAAAGGATACAGTGTTTTTCTGATTCCTGAACGATTTTCTGCTAAATGTCTGACATGAAAAGAGAGAGAAAGAGATGTACATATTCGGAAGCAAAGAGAGAATCTGCTTCCACTCTTTTTCACTATAAACTGTAAGCCCAGTTCACTCAATCCCTATAACTTACAGATAAACTTCTTGTTTTTATCTTCTGAAAATCGGTCTTGGAATGAGAAAAAAAAACACCCCAAATTCTACACCCACAACCTCGAGACCAACCTAAACAATGGCAGATTTTGATGACTCTTTCTACCCTCATCATGTGCATGATTACCTGTTACAAGAACAAGAGTCACATCATCATCAGCAATCAGCAACTCATACCAGAAACTTTGTGAGATCTCTCTAATCATTATATTCCGATCTTTCAAAATTCAAGAGTACTTATTAGATCTTCATTAATTATATTTGTACTTTTTAAATTAACTTTCTGGTTTAGCTACCTAAGCTAGACAGTTTAATGTGACTAGTAAAATAACTGCGACAACACTTTTTTTTAAGTAGTTTCCCAGCCCACCAAACTGCCAAATGCTCTCATTTTCCTGACCAACTTCTTGTCTGTGCTTGATAAGAATATTTTAAATCACCAACCATCGCTCTTTGTCTTCTCTTGTATCCCTTTCTTCTTTATTATTTCACACGCATTATACACCTGTTAATTCATGCACTTTTAATAATGTTGCAGAGAAGGGGTTCAGTTTCTGAGAAACAGCTTGATGCTAAGGTAACAAAAAAAAAAAAAAACCCAACTCTTCGTTTCTTGTGTTCTTTCTAAATCCAAAAAGAAAAAGTTAAAACTGTTTAAAATTGTTTTTCAGACACTGAGACGTTTAGCTCAAAACAGAGAAGCTGCAAGGAAAAGCCGTCTTAGAAAAAAGGTAACATAAAAGCATTACATGCAAAAACCATTTGCATGTAGTTTCTCGCTTACATGTCTGTATAAAATAAACTGTTTTTTCTTTTTTTTTAATGTCTAAACAGGCTTATGTTCAGCAACTAGAAACAAGCAGAATAAAGCTAACTCAACTTGAGCAAGATCTTCAGAGAGCTCGATCTGAGGTTTCTTTTATTTCTTCCAATTCTTTGCCTTTGGTTGGGGGTGGGGGCTTTTTTTTAAAAAATTTCTTATGTGCTTAGACTTCTGGGTTTTGTGTAATACTGATAGGGAATTTTCTTGGGAGGTTGTGCTGGTGCTGTTGGAAATATCAGCTCTGGTAAGTTTCTAAGAAAAAGAATTAATGTTGCACTAGTGTATATTTACTAAAAGGACTCTTATTTACCAACAATTCAGAGACTTTAAAATGGGAATGTGTTTTCTATGATGGGTAATTATGGAAGAACAGTGACAGAAATGTGTAGCACATTTTTGTAGTTTAAAATAAAATAGAACGTTGAATCCATAATTATTTTTAAGAGACGATATTTAATAGATATAAAGTTTAAATTTTTACAATTCCTGATTCTATCCTGCAAGGTTGTTCAATTTTATGATTGCTAGTTGAACATTGAACCACAGTTTTTTCCCATAAACTTTTAGTCAATTTTGGATGAGTTTTTTTTTTTTTAAATCATTGGTGTATTAATTGGTTTAATAAATTAAAATATATATATGTAATAGTACATAGTAATTGGAATCATTTGTGTTAGTTCATCACCATTGTTATTATTATCATGATTATTATTGTTGTCTTCATTTAGGGGCTGCAATATTTGACATGGAATATTCAAGATGGTTAGAAGATGATCAGAGGCACATATCTGAGCTTAGAACTGAATTACATGCACACCTTTCGGACAGCGACCTTCGAATAATTGTAGACAGTTACATTTCACATTATGATGAAATTTTCCGGTTGAAGGTAGCGGCTGCAAAATCTGATGTTTTCCACCTTATAACTGGGATGTGGACAACTCCGGCTGAGCGTTGCTTCCTTTGGATTGGAGGTTTTAGGCCCTCTGAGCTCATCAAGGTTTTAGAAAGTTTTAAAAATGAACTATTTTTAGTAGTGGCAGTTTGATCTTTAAACTAGTTCTGATTTTTCTTTTTCCTTGTTTTTATTTAATCATTGGTGATCAGATGTTAATATCACAATTAGACCCGTTAACAGAGCAGCAAGTGATGGGGATTTACAGCCTCCAGCATTCTTCACAACAGGCAGAAGAGGCACTCTCCCAAGGCCTGGAACAGCTCCAGCAGTCTCTAATTGACACTGTCGCTGGCGTTCCAGTCATTGATGGAATGCAACAAATGGCTGTTGCCTTAGGCAAGCTTGCCAATCTAGAAGGCTTCATTCGCCAGGTAATTAAACTTATTATTATCAGAATTAAAAAATCTCTTTGATTACTAATACTAGCATATCGAAACAGACATTAAGTTGACAACAAGGGTTTCTTAAATTTTTATCAAGAAAACTGAGTCCAATCAACTGAAAAAATAGAATTTGCTGATACCATTTTTAGTTAGATGCATATATTTCATGCAACAAGAAGGTGAAAATAAAGAATTTGAAGACATCATCATCGCATCTTAGTCAACTTAGAAATATGATTTTATGTAATTTAATACTGTCTAATCACTCTTGCCACCATGTCTACGGCGATGCCTTCTTTCTGTTTTGTTTATCAACAATCATTTTATGGGGAGAATTTATATTCCTTAATATGTAAGAAATCCATTGCAAATGTTGAACGCTATGGCTTTGATGGGTTATTTTTATCTATAAAGGTTTCTATCAAAATGTTGTTTGATAGTGATATATGTTGAAATAAAAAAAAAAAAAACCCTAGCTTCAACAATCAATGGAAAATTCTGATTGACCATTTGATTGAAAGATTCTTATTTTTTTGATGAACGATTGAAACTTTGAAATGGACCCAATCCTAAAACAAGACAACTTACATTATTTTAAACTTTCAAACCTTTTGAAATGTTTCAAGCCATGAATATCCATGTGCCATTGCATTTGGAAATCATTTCAATTTCCATAGGGTCATTATGTTTGTCTTGAGTACTTAATTTTTTTTTTATTTGAAACTATCACGATTTGATTTCTAATCATTGAAATTAACCTTATTTGTGACCCTTTTTTGATTTATTTGATTTGATGAATTAAAATAACTAGTATTTGTAATGTAGGCTGACAATTTAAGACAGCAAACCCTTCACCAATTGCCTTGTATATTGACGGTTAGACAGGCAGCACGGTGTTTTCTGATGATCAGCGAGTACCATGCGCGGTTACGAGCACTTAGTTCTCTTTGGCTGTCCCGACCCCAAGAGTAAGATCTCTTATTTTATTACCAAATCTATGAACGTTACTATAGTAGAAGCCCTAACGAAAAAAAAGTCTGTTAACCAGATTTTTCTAATTTACGTCTCTAATTAAGCCTAATGTTACCAAAAATTTTCTCTGATATAGGACCTTGATCAGTGATGATCATTCATGTCAAACAACGACGGAATTGCAAATGGTGCAACCATCAAAGAATCATTTCTCAAACTTTTGATAAAAAAATTCCGATGAGTCAGCCATCATCAGCAATCAAAATCCTGTATTTATTTTCACAAAGCTGCAGCCATGCGAAATATTGGAATATTTCATCAAGCTACTTAAAATTAGAGGAAATAGGACTTTCTTTTCTTTTCTTTTATTAATCTTTTCTATCAGTAAGTTATCCCTTGTAAATGAAAAAAAAAGTCAATTTAGTATGCATAACGGAGCTTCTATCTTTTCTAGAAAGAAATTAAGAGATTATCATCAGGAAAAATAAAAGTTGAAGCTGTGAGGTATATAAATCAATGAGTTTTTTTTATACAATATCACTAATTTTTTAATTTTACATGAGGTTAAAAGATTGAAACGTTTTATTTTTTAAATAGATTTTTTATTTTTAATATATTTTTAAAATATATATTATCCTATTAATCTGTACGTATAATTTAAAAATTCTACTAACATTAGATGGTATATAAGTCAATATATTTTTGAGAATTTAAAAATATATATGTATGTGTTCGGTCAGGTTTCCCCTTGACTCTAGTGGCCCTTGAATGATGTAGAAGGCTAAAAATATTGTTGAAAGAAAAAGAGAGATATAGACTGAAAACATTGGCTTCTTTTAATAATTTTATAAAATAGAAATGATGGGAAAAAGAGAGTGACAGTGCGTGGTCTGTTTCTCTTCATTTAAAGATAGTAGTTGTGAAGAATTTTCTATATGGTAGAAACGACAGCGAGGCAGATAGAAGACATTGTCGTTTTCTTCAATAAAATTTTTCTGTGGGAAAAGAGAGAGAAAAGCTGGTTTTGCAAATCTCTAATATATAATAAACATATGTACATTTATTTCAAGTGGTTGAGAGAGGTTTTTCTAAGGGAGAAAAAGATAGAAAAAAAAAAAATAGAGAGACAGAGAGGAGAGATTTGTTTCCTTCAGCGTAAAAAATGTAGCCACTCGAATGAAGAGTGCTGGACAAAAAAAAGGTTGGTGGTAATTATTAATGATAATTATAATATAAAGATTTATATTTTATAAATTATTTGTGTATATTATTTATGCATTGTTATTATTGAATCCCATAATAACATTTTATAAAAAAAAATTAAATATATTTTTGAAATTAAAAGTATTTTTTAGAATTTTAAAATTTTAAAATTAATATTTTATGAATTGTCACTTCAATTTATAATATTTATGTAATGACAGTGAATAAAATATGAATTTTTATAATAATTTAAGACAAGTAATATAAATTAGAGTTTATAACTGAATTTGTTGAGGTCTGTCCGTTTATATCTTTAGGATAAAATTATGCATGATTTTCATGGCATTGATAAAAGACCTGAATCTGTAAGTTTCTTAATTAGCCATAAGGAATAAAAAGGAAAGAACTAATGCCAATTTGCAGTTATAAATAATTACAAATATAATGGACATACAATTTAAGGATGGTAGTTGCTTCTGTTTATCAACTGTGGCTGCTCGAACAGATATGTTAATTAATTTATTTGATTATAATATTTTAATATTTACATATAAATCTTGGAATTATTCTTACATCATTAACCTAATAAAAAATATGAGTGAGATTTGTAATTTTTTAAAAATGTTATTTAATTCAAAAGTCCGTAATTTTTTTATATGTAAGTATTAATCAAATGATAAAAGATTTGGTTTGATATAAACATGGATTGGCATGTTCATATTTTCATACGTGCATGCATTTTTGTCTCTTCATTCAAGTAATGAATTTTTTTTTTTGTGTATAAAAAAAATCGTAGTCTAAAAAAATTAAGTTTTAATATTTGAATTTTAAATTTGTTAAATATTATTTTTTTTAGAATGTTTATATAAATTAATTAAATTAAAATTTGAATTCTTAAATGATGTTTTACTATTTTTAAAAATAGCTAAACGAACTAATAAGAAATAAAAAGGAATTATCTTTTATCATGCAACTTAAATTAATGAGCTTTTTGTTCTTGAATTCAAATATAGTAATTTGTTATGTCCAAAATGAAGGTTAAAAGAAAAAGGAAAACATAAATCCATATTTATTTTCTAGGATGGACTAGTATAAAAAGATATAAGCTAATTAATTATAAAGAATACAAAAGCTGCAAAACAACTCTTGCTTTATCATGTTGTGAAGCAGTGCACTAGGATAAGAAAGTAACCTCCTTTTTTTTTTTCTAAATGAAGAAAAAAGAAAAAAAAAAGTTAGAAAAAAGGAACCCTATTGAAAAATCAATGCAAAAGGATCAAATTCATTAGAACAAAACAAAGTTTTCTTTTTTTTTTTTTTCGTTTTATGCTTTAAAAATTGATAAAGAAAAACAACATGCATCGTGCATGCATGTGTCTGAATGCTTACCATTCTTATCACACGTGTTCGATTGAATGTTTGAGAGTTTTTATTATTTTGACACCAATCAAAGTGTTATTGGCGAAATGAATTAAATTATACAAAGTTTTCTTAACCTTTTTTATATTCTTTTGCATGTCGCCTACTTTTAGGTAATGGCTCTATGATCTTCAAGAAAGGAATTGTGGCTAAGGAAAATGATAATGTAAGTTATGCTATTATCTGATTCTGTGTTTGAGAAAACAAAATTTTCTTATCTTTGATATATATTTGATTTATTTACGTCTCATTATATTGAAATAATATTTATTCGAATACAATTAGATAATAAAAATTGGGCAAGATCAATTTATACTAGTTTTAAATTTTTTTAGTCTTAAAATTTTTTAATAATTAATTTTAATAAATTCAAAAAATGAGATAAATTAAAAAAATAATTTAATCTCAGTTCAGTTACTGAAATCAATTATTAAAAAAAAAATACAAAGTTAAAAATTTTATATTGGTGTTAAGTTTATCATTTCTCATAAAAATGGAGGATAAAATTAATCCATGCTCACAGTGCTTATTAATTAACAATATTATATTGAATTTGTTGAATTTCATTTTAAATTTTTCTAACTAGTTTTTAGATATTAATTTTTCTAATTATATATATATATAAGTAAGAATAACTGGCTAATTAATTAACAACACCATCAAGCAAATGTTAGCTCAGGTGATTAGAAAAATTTACTTTTCCTTGTCTGTTTTGAGTTTGGATATGTTGAGTGATTGTACAAAAATAATTATTTTTGAATTCATTAGATTTAACGTAAACAAACATGTTTAAATTGATGAAAAACATGTACTTTGACAAAATTTAAGAATCTCTTACTACTTAAAAAAAGGTGACCACCATTACAAGAAAATGGCATATTAGTGACAATTTGTAGCAGCCTTTCACTTATAAATGTAGATAGCTTTCATGTTTTTATAAAATTTAAGGCATTTATTATCAAAACGTCACTAAATATTCAAATAGCGATGTTGTTACTTATAAACGTCACCCAAAACTTGATATCAGCGGCGTTTTTCGACTAAAAGGCCTTAAATAATCCTGTCTTAAAAATTTTAATGAATACTAAAGGCGTATTTTTGGCAGACAACGTCTTTAATAATCACCTAATAAAAAATTATATGAAATTATTGAAGGCATTTTCTATAAGAAATGCCTTTAATAATTGGGTCAAAAAATTTCACAGGCTTATTGAAGTCATTTTTGTTCAAAAATGCCTTCAATAAATATCATATCAAAATGTTTGGATCGTACAGATGTTAAACATATGATTGTAGGTTCGATATCTCCCTTTAGCCTTTTTTGAATTTTTGCAAAAATTATTTGTAATTGATTATTGTAGGCATTTCTTGGCAAAAACACATTCACCAATTGCTTTAAAAAATTTTACAAAGAATATTGAAGGCATTTTTGTAGAAAAATGCCCTTAATAAATTCATAAAAAAAATATGGAGTTGATTCTTGAAGGCATTTTTGGCTGAACTTGCCTCTATACTTATACTCCATAATCTATCAATAAAAATAAATAAATATTGAAATGTCATGATATCTAAAGGCGATTTTTGAATGGCTGCTTGAAGGCGTTTTTAGCTTAAAACACATTTAATATTTCAGACGATAAATTTTAATTGTCAGATTTTTTAAGGTAGTTATATCTAAAAACGCCTTCAATAACATTTTGTTATGGATTATTCAAGACGTTACCCGTATGAAAATGCCCTTCATAATCCATTCAATTAATTTTTAGTTTGTATTATTGAAGGCATTTTTTTAAAACGCCTTCAATAATTTATACAAAAAAGACGAGATAGATTCTTGATAGCATTTTTTGCCCAAAATACCTTTAATATTCCACACAATAAATTTTTGGGGAGATTATTGAATGCGATTTTGGTAAAAATTATCATTAATATTTCAGACGATAAATTTTAATGGTCGAATTATTGAAGGCGGTCATATTCATAAACGCCTTCAATAATATTTTATTAGGGATTATTCAAGACATTACTCGTAGGAAAACGTCTTTCATAATCCATTTGATTAATTTTTAGTTGGTATTATTGAAGGCGTTTTTTTAAAACGCCTTCAATAATCCATACAAAAAAAATGCGACGGATTCTTGAAGGCATTTTTTTCTCCAAAATGCCTTTCATATTCCACACAATTAAAATTTTGGGTGATTATTGAAAGTAGTTTTGGTTAAAAGCACTTTCAAAATTTTTTGTTAGGGATGATTCAAGGCGTTCTCTTGCTAAAAACGCATTCATTAATCCCATCAAAAAAATATATTTGATATTGTACATGTCAAGTCAATTATAGGTTTATGCCTAGAAAATGCTTGCTATCAATTGTATATTAATGCCTAGAAAATATTTGGTTTTTATATGTGATACTACGAATTACATTTTGAAATTTACATAATGAACATTGTTGTATTTCAATAAATTGACCACACATCCGAAATTAAAACTGATAACATTACCATATTAATATACTTTTTTGAAATAATCGTACTCAATAATTTATTAAATACACAAAGTGTATTCATATTAAGTATAACAATAATATTAAGCCAACACCACAATGTACACACTTAAAGTTTCCATTCAACATGGTATGTTCAAAACATTATAACAATTTGTTCCTTATATATTTACATTCAACCAACAATGTTTAGCCTGAAGGTTTATCAATATTGATAAATGATAATACATAATCACACCATTCTTTATGGACTTCATCCAGTTCCTCTTCCGTGATGCTTTCTTTACTCTTCCACTAAAAAGAAAAATAAAAAATAAATGCTAAGAAATGAGAACATAATGTACCTTTCTATTTTTTTGAATATCTAACGAGTTTA